AGCCAAAGTTGGTACTTGTAGTAATAATACTGCTGGTGATCCTGGTAGCAGAGGTTGGTACTTGTAGTACCAATACTGCTGGTCATCCTGGTAGCACAGGTTGGTACTTGTAGTACCAATACTGCTGGTCATCCTGGTAGCAGAGGTTGGTACTTGTAGTACCAATACTGCAGGTCATCCTGGTAGCAGAGGTTGGTACTTGTAGTACCAATACTGCTGGTCATTCTGGTAGCAGAAGTTGGTACTTGTAGTACCAATACTGCTGGTCATCCAGGTAGCAGAGGTTGGTACTTGTAGTACCAATACTGCAGGTCATCCTGGTGGCAGAGGTTGGTACTTGTGGTACCAGCACTGCTGGTCATTCTGGTAACAGAAGTTGGTACTTGTAGTACCAATACTGCAGGTCATCCTGGTGGCAGAGGTTAGTACTTGTGGTACCAGCACTGCTGGTCATTCTGGTAACAGAAGTTGGTACTTGTAGTACCAATACTGCTGGTCATCCTGGTAGCCGAAGTTGGTGCTTGTAGTACCAATACTGCTGGTCATCCTGGTAGCAGAAGTTGGTACTTGTAGTACCAATACTGCTGGTCATCCTAGTAGCAGAAGTTGGTACTTGTAGTAACAATACTGCTGGTCATCCTGGTAGCAAAGTTGGTTCTTGTAGTACCAATACTGCTGGTCATCCTGGTAGCAGAGGTTGGCACTTTTAGTACCGATACTGCTTGTCATCCTGTTAGCAGAGGTTGGTACTTGTATTACCAATACTGCTGGTCATCCTGGTAGCAGAAGTTGGTACTTGTAGTACCAATACTGCTGGTCATCCTGGTAGCAGATGTTGGTACTTGTAGTACCAATACTGCTGGTCATCCTGGTAGCAGATGTTGGTACTTGTAGTACCAATACTGCTGGTCATCCTGGTAGCAGAGGTTGGTACTTTTACCAATGCTGCTGGTCATCCTGGTAGCAGAAGTTGGTACTTGTAGCACCAATACTGCTGGTCATCCTGGTAGCAGAAGTTGGTACTTGTAGTAACAATACTGCTGGTCATCCTGGTAGCAGAGGTTGGTACTTTTAGTACCAATACTGCTGGTCATCTTGTTAGCAGAGGTTGGTACTTGTAGTACCAATACTGCTGGTCATCCTGGTAGCAGAAGTTGGTACTTGTAGTACCAGTACTGCTGGTCATCCTGGTAGCAGGAGTTGGTATTTTTAGTACCAATACTTCTGATCATCCTGGTAGCACAGGTTGGTACTTGTAGTACCAATACTGCTGGTCATCCTGGTAGCAGGAGTTGGTATTTTTAGTACCAATACTTCTGGTCAGTTAGTGTCAGTTTTCAGTAACATTAGGCTCCTGTTATTGTCAAATACTGATATGTGTAGTGACAACACTGTGTTGCTACAGTGTTGGTAATATATAGTGACAACACTGTGTTGCTACAGTGTTGGTAATATATAGTGACAACACTCTGTTACTACAGTGTTGGTAATATAGTGACAACACTGTGTTACTACAGTGTTGGTAATATATAGTGACAACACTGTGTTACTACAGTGTTGGTAATATATAGTGACAACACTCTGTTACTACAGTGTTGGTAATATATAGTGACAACACTGCGTTACTACAGTGTTAGTAATATACAGTGACAACACTGTGTTACTACAGTGTTAGTAATATACAGTGACAACACTGTGTTACTATAGTGTTAGTAATACATAGTGACAACACTGTGTTACTACAGTGTTGGTAATATATAGTGACAACACTCTGTTACTACAGTGTTGGTAATATATAGTGACAACACTGTGTTACTATAGTGTTAGTAATACATAGTGACAACACTGTGTTACTACAGTGTTAGTAATACATAGTGACAACACTGTGTTACTACAGTGTTAGTAATACATAGTGACAACACTGTGTTACTACAGTGTTGGTAATACATAGGGACAACACTGTGTTACTACAGTGTTGGTAATATATAGTGACAACACTGTGTTACTACAGTGTTAGTAATACATAGTGACAACACTGTGTTACTACAGTGTTAGTAATACATAGTGACAACACTGTGTTACTACAGTGTTAGTAATACATAGTGACAACACTGTGTTACTACAGTGTTAGTAATACATAGTGACAACACTGTGTTACTACAGTGTTAGTAATACATAGTGACAACACTGTGTTACTACAGTGTTAGTAATACATAGTGACAACACTGTGTTACTACAGTGTTAGTAATACATAGTGACAACACTGTGTTACTACAGTGTTAGTAATACATAGTGACAACACTGTGTTACTACAGTGTTAGTAATACATAGTGACAACACTGTGTTACTACAGTGTTAGTAATACATAGTGACAACACTGTGTTACTACAGTGTTGGTAATACATAGTGACAACACTGTGTTACTACAGTGTTGGTAATATATAGTGACAACACTGTGTGGAAGAGGGTAAGGTACCTAGGGATTGGCAGAGAGCATGCATAGTTCCTTTGTATAAAGGCAAAGGGGATAAAAGAGAGTGCAAAAATTATAGGGGGATAAGTCTGTTGAGTGTACCTGGTAAAGTGTATGGTAGAGTTATAATTGAAAGAATTAAGAGTAAGACGGAGAATAGGATAGCAGATGAACAAGGAGGCTTTAGGAAAGGTAGGGGGTGTGTGGACCAGGTGTTTACAGTGAAACATATAAGTGAACAGTATTTAGATAAGGCTAAAGAGGTCTTTGTGGCATTTATGGATTTGGAAAAGGCGTATGACAGGGTGGATAGGGGGGCAATGTGGCAGATGTTGCAAGTGTATGGTGTAGGAGGTAGGTTACTGAAAGCAGTGAAGAGTTTTTACGAGGATAGTGAGGCTCAAGTTAGAGTATGTAGGAAAGAGGGAAATTTTTTCCCAGTAAAAGTAGGCCTTAGACAAGGATGTGTGATGTCACCGTGGTTGTTTAATATATTTATAGATGGGGTTGTAAGAGAAGTAAATGCGAGGGTCTTGGCAAGAGGCGTGGAGTTAAAAGATAAAGAATCACACACAAAGTGGGAGTTGTCACAGCTGCTCTTTGCTGATGACACTGTGCTCTTGGGAGATTCTGAAGAGAAGTTGCAGAGATTGGTGGATGAATTTGGTAGGGTGTGCATAAGAAGAAAATTAAAGGTGAATACAGGAAAGAGTAAGGTTATGAGGATAACAAAAAGATTAGGTGATGAAAGATTGAATATCAGATTGGAGGGAGAGAGTATGGAGGAGGTGAACGTATTCAGATATTTGGGAGTGGACGTGTCAGCGGATGGGTCTATGAAAGATGAGGTGAATCATAGAATTGATGAGGGAAAAAGAGTGAGTGGTGCACTTAGGAGTCTGTGGAGACAAAGAACTTTGTCCTTGGAGGCAAAGAGGGGAATGTATGAGAGTATAGTTTTACCAACGCTCTTATATGGGTGTGAAGCGTGGGTGATGAATGTTGCAGCGAGGAGAAGGCTGGGGGCAGTGGAGATGTCAGGGTCTGGGGGCAATGTGTGGTGTGAATATAATGCAGAGAATTCGTAGTTTGGAAGTTAGGAGGAGGTGCGGGATTACCAAAACTGTTGTCCAGAGGGCTGAGGAAGGGTTGTTGAGGTGGTTCGGACATGTAGAGGAATGGAGCGAAACAGAAAGACTTCAAGAGTTGTATCAGTCTGTAGTGGAAGGAAAGGCGGGTAGGGGTCCTCCTAGGAAGGGTATGGAGGGAGGGGGTAAGGGAGTTTTGTGTCGAGGGGCTTGGACTTCCAGCAGGCATGCGTGAGCGTGTTTGATAGGAGTGAATGGAACAAATGTTTTTAATACTTGACAGTGCTGTTGGAGTGTGAGCAAAGTAACATTATGAAGGGATTCAGGGAAAACCGGCAGGCCGGACTTGAGTCCTGGAGATGGGAAGTACAGTGCCTGCACTCTGAAGGATGAGGGTGTTAATGTTGCAGTTTTAAAACTGAAGTGTAAAGCACCTTCTGGCATGACAGTGATGGAGTGATGTTGGTGAAAGTTTTTCTTTTTCGGCCACCCTGCCTTGGTGGAATCGCCGGTGTGATTATAAAAAAAAAAAAAAAAAAAAAAAAAACACTGTGTTACTACAGTGTTATACTACATAGTGACAACACTGTGTTACTTCATGTTAGTAATACATAGTGACAACACTGTGTTACTATCAGTGTTTGTATATATAGTGACAAACCACTGTGTTACTACATGTTGGTAATATACATGTCAACACTGTGTTATCTACAGTGTTGGTAATAAACAGTGACAACACTGTGTTACTATCAGTGTTGTAATATATATGACAACAAATGTGTACTACAGGTTGGTTAATATATAGTGACAACACTGTGTTACTACAGTGTTGGTAATAAACAAGTGACAACACTGTGTTACTACAGCGTTGGTAATATACAGTGACAACACTGTGTTTACTACATGTTAGGTAATATATATGTGACAACACTGTGTTACTACAGTGTTGGAATATATATGAAAAACAACACTGAGTTACTACTACAGTTTGGTAATATACAGTGACAACACCTGTTGGTTACTACAGTGTTGGTAATATACAGTGACTAACACTGTGTTTACTTACAGTGTTGGTACTATACAGTGACAACACTGTGGTAACTACAGGGTTTGGTGATATATAAAGACAACCACTGTGTTTACTACAGTGTTTTAATATAACATGTACAATATGAAACATCAATGTTATGAATTTGTTATTATAACTGGTTAAGCATCAAACCGAACATCCTAACATTAAACATCAACTTTTAAATTTACTACTGTGTTCTTAACAACATTATTATTCATTGTGTTCTAACAAACATTATATCATTGTGTTCTTAACCAACATTATTTATCATTGTGTTCTTAACACATTTTATCATTGTGTTCTTAACAACATATACATTGTGTCTTAACAACATTATTATCATTTGTGTTTTCTTTAAAACAACATTATTATCATTGTGTTAACAACATTATCTCTGATTGTACTGTGAACTTATTCATAATTTTTGTTGTTGCAAAACATGGAAATTCCTGAAGAGTGTTAGAGAATCCTCCAAGGTATGTGATTAACTGCTTTTTTGATCCAAGGAATTGGAAATATCCTCCCACTAATGTAAACATCCATCCTATTCCTCAAGCAATGTTTAAACCTTCCTGGTTTAGTGGTTGATCATGTTTATGACACTAATGATAAGAGTACAGTGGACTCTCACCTAACGATATTAATTGGTACCCGAGAACGATTATCGTTAGGCGAGTTTTTTAGCGTTAGCCAAGGCAAAATGTTAGCGTTAAAATGTATCGTTAGGCGAATTTAACGTTATGCGATGCGTTCGTTAGGCGAGGGTCCACTGTATTAGAAAAATATTGTTTTCTGTGTAATGAAGTGGCCACAAAAATTATATCAGGTTAAACATTTTGTAATTCATTTACAGCATTAAAATGCTCCAAAATGAATAATAATAATGTGGCATCTTCAAGACTAATAAGACACTCCTAGCGATTTTAATGTGTACCTGCATGCTAGCACAGTGTGTAAGTTTATTTCGGTATAGTTACACGAAGAATTCTTCCTCCATAAGCCATGCATGTTGTAAGAGGTGGGAACAGTGGACTAGTATCCCTTTCTCCTGCATTCATTACTAAAGTAAAAAGCGAAACTTTTGTTTTTCTTTTTGAGCCACCCTGTTGTGGTGGGATACAACCAGTTTGTTGAAAGAAAGAAGAAGGTATACGCATAAGTATAATTATCAGAGTATATATAAAATATGCAATAATTTTAAAATACTTGAAATTTTGGAAAGTTTCCACATATAATGGTGAGACGTGGAGCTCACAGAGAATATAAGCAAACAAGTGGCGTGTGTAGACCGTATAGTGAGTCAGGTAGGATGGATGAGGGAGCTGTATAACGAGTTTCGGTCATAATCTGAAATGTCTCTATTAGCGAAATGTCATAAAGTGGGGCCCTACTGTATAAGATTATTTACTCGTTTTATTGTATCTTACATTGATCTACATTATTGACTCCTATGTCTCTAATTAAGATCTTTGTTCTTAATCCCATTGTCGCTCATGTAAATCTGCATTATTGACCTCAGTATCACTCATGTACATTTATGATTTAAGCACAGCACCCTTACCTATGCTGTGATTAGTAAATATTTTTGTTTGTGCATTGAGTGTACACAACATAAAAGAAATTCTAACCCACACAGTGCATGATGAGAGAAAAAATGTTTGGTTGAAAATAATGACTTTGAGGTGTTTTCCAGGATGTTTTCTTATGACTTTTTCATGGTATCAGTTGATTAGGTTAATGTCATACTACTGAAATAGCTAATTTGGTCGATTTCAAGATGAGAAGTATTTAAAATATTCAAATTTGAAAAATTTTCTTGAAAGCGGGAAAGGCCTCTTCTTCCCCTTTTATCTTTTTTATGGGTTGTTACTAGTTCTGTTTCAATTATTGGGATGCCCTAAACCATGAGAATTGTTAATGGTTATTTTTTGTTATCTGAGAAATAATTTTGTGTGCAATGATGGATTCAAAATAGAGTGAAGGTTTAATACTAGAGACCTGGGGATATAATTAATGAACAGATGATAGGTTACTTTAGTTACTTGAGTAATTACTGTTTTTTTTTAATTAGAATTTGTTAAATTTTATGTACAATTAAAGTACTAACTTTTGTGGACTTTCTCTAGAGCGAGAAAGTTAAAACATTGTTCAGAATGAACAGTAGAATTGGCTTAATGTAGGACTCAGTTGGGTAAAATTGCTAATACATAAATTGTGCTCAGATTGTCAACTTTGTGCCTCTGTAATTGCATAAGTTTGCATGAAATTTCATGTTTTTTATGTTATTACCTTAAGAAAAAGATTCTCTACCATTTTTGAAGAAAAAATTACTTTTCTCTTTTTCATGGAAAAATCCTGACACTGTTAGCACTTTTAATTTTGGGGTCCTGATAGTGAAAGTGTTAAGTTATTATTCACTATGTCTAACATACTAGAAAAAGAATGTGTTGAAGCAACACATACAACAGTTGATGCAGAAGACAAACTATATCAATATTCACATTCCTCACAAAAATCTCACTGTGTATCATTGATAACAGTTAATGAAGACAAAAAAACTGTTCAGTGTTTAATGTGTTTGAAAGAATTTAAAAAAAAAAGATATTTAATGAGACATATGAAAATTCATACCAGAGAGAAACAATATCAATGTTCAGAGTGTCTGAAAGAGTTTTCAGTCAAATCTTATTTAGCACAGCACATGAGAAATCATTGTAGAGAGAAACTATATAAATGTTCAGAGTGTGTAAGAGAGTTTTCCTGCAAATCTCATTTAGTGCAGCACACAAAAAATCATTCTGAAGAGAAACCATATCAGTGTTTGAAGTGTCTAAAAGAATTTTCTCAAAAATCAAATTTAGTAAGGCACATGAAAATTCATACTGGAGAGAAACCATATCAATGTTCAGAGTGTCTAAAAGAATTTTCACAAAAATCTAATTTAGTACAACACATGAAAATTCATGCTGGAGAAAAACCACATCAATATTTAGAGTGTGTAAATGATTTTTCAGGTAAATCCAGTTTAATACAACTCATGAAAATTCATACTCGAGTGAAACCATATCAATGTTCAGAGTGTCTAAAAGAGTTTTCAGTCAAATCTTATTTAGTAAAACATATGAGAATTCATACTGGAGAGAAACCATATCAGTGTTCAGAGTGTCTAAAAGCATTTTCACAAAAATCTCATTTAGTACAGCACATGAGAATTCATACTGGAGAAAAACCACATCAATGTTCAGAGTGTCTAAACAAGTTTTCACAAAAATCTAGTTTAGCACTGCACATGAGAATTCATACTGGAGAGAGACCACATCATTGTTCAGTGTGTCGAAAAGAATTTTCAGATAAATCTACTTTAGTAAAACACATGAGAATTCATACTGGAGAGAAACCATATCAATGTTCAAAATGTCTAAAAGAGTTTTCTGTGAAATATCAATTAGTACAACACATGAGAATTCATACTGGAGAGAAACCACATCAATGTTTAGAGTGTCTAAAAAGATTTTCAAATAAATCTAATTTAGTAAGACACATGAGAATTCATACTGGGGAGAAGCCATATCAGTGTTCAGAGTGTCTAAAACATTTTTCAGAAAAATCTAGTTTAGTAAAACACCTGAGACTTCATACTATTTAGAAATTATTTGAGTGTTCAGTAGCTAAAAGTTTTCTCTCAAAAGCTAAATTCATTTTAAACAAACTTGAAGCCACATGGGAGGGAAATGTTGTCAGTGGACAGTGTGACCAGAACTCATTGTGATATTTGATGGCAACATGTATGATAATTACTTGGAGATAAAACTGAGTCTATCTTTCAAATGTCTAGTTCGATTGCTAGTGCACTCAGCGCACTCAGCTCACACATTGAAGTCCGGAGTTTTGATCTCCTCTAGTATGGCTGGAGAACATTAAGGATGTGTCTCCATAAGACACCTGCTGTCCTTGTTCACCCATCAATATAAAATGGGTACCTGGATGTCTTAGTAGTATCAGTTCCCAGTAGTACCAGTTATCAGTAACCAGTAGTATGACTCACTACCAACCATCTGCATGAATCACTGACTGTTATTCATGTTGCTGCTGACCATAGCATGTTTTTTTAACGCCGCTCACCCCTAGGACCCAATTCGTGAGTCAGTCTTAAGATAGAGAGCAGAGAGGCAGGGCGGGCCTGGTGCTTCCCATATATTCCGTTATAATTATACTCCATTATTGTCTATGTGACTTTTCTTTACCCAATCCATGCAATCAAACCCCCCACATGACAATTCGTGACAGCGGTGTGCACGTGGATTTACAGGTATTTCAGACGTTAGAAGATCGTTTGTGGGGTGCCGGCAGGTCAGAAGTCACGTCTGCCAACTGGTCGCTCCAGCATGAAAACCATTTGCAGCCATCTTTCAAGCTTCCTGGTTTTGTTCGTGCTAATTTCTTCAATCTCCGAAGGGTTGACCCAGATTTTGCAATTAAGCCAGCCAGTAAGCCAGTCTGTGGGAGTGAATGCCAGTCAGCCTGCCTCAGCCTATCATCCAGCCTGTCTCTTGTCATCCACCTGCTCTTTCATGCTGTGTGCATCGTTACACGTCTTCCAGTCAGCTATTCTCGTGGGTTAAGCCAGCATGACAACCCAGCTGAGAGAGAGAAGTAAGCCACACAAGTTCCTCTGAAGTATTGTCTCTGTATCACTTTGTGCTCCCAGTTGGATGCTAAGAGTGGTCTTCACCATCCCTTTGGCATATTGTAGCTTAATTTAACCTACTTGGGTGTTTCTTGTGAGTAGTGAGTGGCATTGCGAGCCAGTGGGCCGGGTTGCCACACCCACCCGCCACCCACTCCCCACTTCATCTACCTGTGGCTTTTTCCACCCTTGTACCGGGTCCTAGCACTGTTTTTGGCTCATGTAATTGCTCATGAGATTGTAGCTGTGCACTAGTGATAAAGCCAGTTACGTGAGTTCACCTAGAAAGTGCATTTCTTCATGACAGCAGTGTGAGTGTAGGAGGAATCGCCACCCGCCCACAGGACCACGCCTTCCCCACATCACCCGTCACCGCCGTCTACCACTTCCAGACTTCAGTGTTTTCCATTTAGAGATGTTTGCCTTGCATTTAAAAAAATTTGCGCGTGTGAGGCATTTACAGTGAATTTCTTGTGTACTCTAAGCCTTGCAGTTTCAGTGTAGACTCAGTGTTTCTTTATTTTTCAGTGTTATCTTTCATCTTTCGTGTTTCACTTTTATATTTTTTATCTGTGTTTTTTTAATGCTACTCTCTGCCTTTAGTATTATTTTGTAGTGTTCAAGTGTATTCTTTATTTGTGTGCAGTATTTTGTTCTTTACCCCAGTCATTCACTTCGTGTGAAGTAAGTACGTAATTCATTTTTTTTTTATCTTGTGTTCTTTCAACATTGTATTCTCAAGTATACAGGAAGGCCCCACTTATATGGCTGGTTAGGTTCCAGGCTACCGCCGTAAAGCGGAAACCGCCGTAAAGTGGAACACCCTTTTTTTCCACTTACAAATGCATACAAACACTAGATAACAAGTTTACACTAACATATATTAAGTTAGCAATAGAACCAGGCATCAAAAAAACAATAAAAAGTACAATGCACACATAGTGCACTCATTACTTACCTTAAAATATTTATAGTCTTAATCTAGGGTGAGACAAGTAGTATTTATTGTAAGAAATCAAGTGTGGTATGTATGGTAGTCAGCCAGGCTACCATACCAGGCCACCCCACCCACACATACAATTCTATGATATTTAAGCATCCCATAGCGATAAAATGTATATACAGTTCACTCATTACTTACCTTAAAATATAGGGTGAGATGAGTAGTATTTATTGTAAAAAATCAAGTGTGGTATGTATGGTAGTCAGCCGGGCTACCATACCAGGCCAACCCACCCACACATATATTCCATGATATTTAAGCATCCCAGAGCGATAAAATGTATACAGTGGACCCCCGCATACCGATTTTAATCCGTGCAAGAGGGGTCATTGTTATGCGAAATAATCGGTATGCGAATGAATTTTCCCCATAAGAAATAATGGAAATCAAATTAATCCGTGCAAGACACCCAAAAGTATGAAAAAAAAAATTTTACCACATGAAATATACATTTTCCTACACACAAAGAGAAGGATACATGCACAATAGTAGAGTAGTACATGCACAGTATATATTGTGCATGTACTAGTCTACTAAATGAAGAATAAATGACACTTACCTTTATTGAAGATGCAGCAATGACTGATGAGACACTGTGTCCTGGGAGTGCCTTTTCCTCCTGAGTACTGTAGGTCCTGTTTGGCATTTTCTTCCAGAACAGGCCTTATCACACTGTGTATGCCACTACGATTCTTAAATCTCTCAAACCAACCTTTGCTGGCTTTAAATTCACCAATATGAGCACTAGTTCCAGGCATTTTTCCCTGTTCACCTGGGTGTTAGTCGACTTGTGTGGGTTGCATCCTGGGAGACAAGATTAAGGACCCCAATGGAAATAAGTTAGACAGTCTTCGATGACACTGACTTTTTTGGGTTATCCTGGGTGGCAAATCCTCTGGGGTTAATTGTTTCTTGGTATTCTCAATAAGCCTCACCAACAACGGTGCTACAGCAGCAGCAGCAGCTGACGGTGGTACAGCAGCAACAGACGATGCTACAGCAGCAGCAGACGATGCTACAGCAGCAGCAGCAGCTGACGGTGGTACAGCAGCAACAGACGATGCTACAGCAGCAGCAGACGATGCTACAGCAGCAACAGACGTGTTACAGCAGCAAGACGATGCTACAGCAGCAGCAGCAGCTGACGGTGGTACAGCAGCAACAGACGATGCTACAGCAGCAACAGACGATGTTACAGCAGCAGCAGACGATGTTACAGCAGCAGCAGACGATGCTACAGCAGCAGCAGCAGCAGCAGCAGACGATGCTACAGCAGCAGCAGCAGCTGACGGTGGTACAGCAGCAACAGACGATGCTACAGCAGCAACAGACGATGTTACAGCAGCAGCAGACGATGCTACAGCAGCAGCAGCAGCTGACGGTGGTACAGCAGCAACAGACGATGCTACAGCAGCAACAGACGATGTTACAGCAGCAGCAGACGATGCTACAGCAGCAGCAGCAGCTGATAGTGCAGCAGCAGCAGCTGTACCACCAATAGTAGCGATGGTTGATTGGGATTTATTATACAACCTGGCCAGCTCGGAGACACGCACTCCACTTTCATACTTATCAATGATCTTTTTCTTCATCTCTATTGTAATTCTCACCCTTATTGCTGTAGGGTTGGCACTAGAAGCTTTCTTGGGGCCCATGGTCACTTATTTTCCAGAAAAAGCACCGAAAACACTGTGATAATACGAAATATTCCGATTGTATGCTTGGATGTTACCGCGGAGGCTGGCTGGTAAACAATGCCACCGGCAGAACATGTGAGCATGGCTCAGGCCGCACATTGGACGCGTCTCGGACGAAAATCGGTGAGCGGGTTTTTAAGCGGTATGCGAGGCAAAATTTTTGCGATTAAAGCAAGCGGTATGCGGATTAATCATTATGTGATGCCATCGGTATGCGGGGGTGAACTGTATACAGTTCACTCATTACTTACCATAAAATATTTGTAGTCTTAATGTAGGGTCAGGAGTAAGTAAATGAGATAAAACGAATAAATGAGAGAGAGAAAGAATGAGTGCATGAGAGAGTACAGGCGCAGAGTTATGTAAACAAACCAGGCGAAGGTAAGTTTTGTAAACGAAGTGTACACGTCTGGTTTGTGTACAAGTTACATTGTGTACAGGTTGTCTCTACATTGATACGGTAGAATAAATGAAGAAGAACACTCCCATTCTCATGTAACATCATTTTGAGAAGAAATGATGCTCTGAGTGAAGGCAATGGAAATAAGTCACTCTGACTTTTTTGGGTTATCCTAGGTTCTCTTCACATATGTTGTTATGTATGATAATCTATGTAACTGTATTTGTGTATACCTGAATAAACTTACTTACATACATACGAAAGGAATAATTTTCTACAGTTACCCCCAGTAACACATTTTCTCTTATGTTAGATTAGAGAAAATGTTATTCTTGGCATCACTTGTACAAGTTATCTGGCTACGACATCTCATATTTATGTTTATTTATTCTATTGTAGGGTGTATTTATCATCTTTTTTTGTTATGTATTGTGTTTATTATATAATTTTGAAAAAAATATCATGGATGGATTAATGAAAATGTGTATATTAACGTAATATACAACATTTAAATAAGACTCATGATTATTATTATTATTATTAGCATTTCTAATATGGCGTCACTTGTGAAGTCGTCTGCTACCACATCTCATATTTATGTTTATTTATTCTATTGTGGGGTGTATTTAACATCTTTTTAATGTTATGTATCGTGTTTATTATATAATTTTGAAAAAATATCATAGATGGATTAATGAAAAATGTGTATTTAACGTAATAACGACATTTAAAATGAGACCGATGACTTATTATCATTACTAATATGACGTCTGGAGACATAAGACACTCTTACTGATTTTAATGTGTACCTGCATGCCAGCACAGTATGTAAGTTTATTTAAGTACAGGTATACATAAGTATAATTATCAGAGTATATATAAAATATGAAATAACTTTTAAAAACATTTGAAATTTTGGAGTTTCCAGACAAAATGGAGAGACTTAGTGCTTACTGAGCTCACGAAGAATGTAAACAAACAAGGTGGGGCGCGGTGACCGTATTAGAAAGTCAGGTGGGGGGAGCCGTATAGCGAGTTTTGGTCATAATTTGAAATGACCGTATTAACGGAATGCCGTAAAGTGAAACGCCGTAAAGCGGGGCCTTCCTGTATGTCATTATTGTAGTTCATGCAGTGTTATTCACCCCAGTATACTAAATTATCCAATTATTTCTGTGTACCTTTTTTCGTATGCCCAGCAGTGTCTCATTCCCTTGATCTTTTCGCAGACTTGTGTACCATTATTTTTGCCAGCAATTTTTGTTGAATCAGTCACAGCAAGATTTTGTTGTAAGAACATAACTGATAAATGATTAATCCTTGTTGTGTGTGCCCGCCACTTGTAAATGTTGCACTTCCAGTTTTGTTTCTTGTTTTATTTTTATTCATATTTTTCATATTTCTTTGAACAAATTCACTCTTAGTGTAATTTTACTTATTTTTAACGTAAAGTGTATCTTTACTCTGTTTGAGTAAATTGTTTTGTTTAATTTACAATTAAGAATTAAAGTGTTCAATCAGTCTTTCTTCATATTTTAATTTTATTATTTAACCTGCATTTTTTCCAGTGTAACTTTTATTGCTGCATTGATTATTTCTGTGCCTTATTTTATTGCACTTGTTCTGCAGTGAATTATTTTCTTTTATTGATATTTTTATGCATTGCTATTCTCAGTTCATTATTGTTTGAGTGTCCTGGTTTTTATTTTATTATTTTTCCTAATATTGTCTTTGCATTATACAGTGGACCCCCGGTTAACGAACTTTTTTCATTCCAGTAGTATGTTCAGGTGCCAGTACTGACCGAATTTTTTCCCATAAGGAATATTGTGAAGTAGATTAGTCCATTTCAGACCCCCAAACATACACGTACAAACGCACTTACATAAATACGCTTACATAATTGATCGCATTTGGAGGTGATCGTTAAGCGGGGGTCCACTGTATTTTAATTTTGTTTATGCACTCTTAGAAAATATTTAAATTTCCCAGTTATCTCTATTTGCATACAATTTAGTAATTTTATTTTATACTTTTTATATTGATTTAGTTTTATTAGTTAATTTCTTTATTAGCAAGAGTACAGACAACTCATTTTGCATTTAATTCAGCCTCCAGTAATATTTTTACTTGTAAATTTCAGTGTGTTTCTTTATCCTGCCCAGCAGTCCCATACAATGAGTTGTCCTTCCTCTTGCAGTGTATCTTAGACATTTTTTTTTATCACTTCTGCAGAATTAGTTACATCTCTCTTATTTCAATTTTAGCATTTTGTGTCATTTTTATTATTCATTATTTTTGCCTTATTTGTTTTTGTGCAACTTCTTTGCCATTATGCCTCACATACCTTCAAGTGATACTTTAGTGAATGGCGACACTCAGACCTCTCAGGCTACTGCTGCTCCTGTCATCAGTCCTCATAGTTCCTTATCAACTGACAGACTGACCCAGACACTGAGACACTAAAGTTTTACTTGTGATTCTCTTGATACATTACCTTTATTCACTGGTCATGTACATAGTCTTGAAGCATGGTTTACTGCCATTCTTTCTCGTGTTAATACTCTAGCTGACGGTCCTCCTTCAGAGGAAAGTCTTATCAGACTTGTGAAAGAAGCTCTTCATCAGTCCCCTGCTGCTGTTCACGTTGTTGATCTCCTTGAAATGCAAGACTTCAGGAATCTTACTAAGAGGTCACAATATGAGGAACTGATTCGTTCTTTCCTTGTACCAGTAAAAACAGCTCATCCATATGTCGTTCTTCGGGAACTCGTGAATGCTACACCCATGACTAATGAATCATTGAGTGCATTTGCTGTTAGATTAGATAAGCTTTTATCATCACTTATCAATGCTGTCCAGTCCACAGCTTTTGTCCCTGATGAGGATAAACCATCCACAGCATCGTTTGCTAAAATAGCAGCTTTTGGAGCAATCAAAGAACTAATGCTGCCTGCTTCCATGTGTGCTTATGAGGCTAATCCTCCAACTGTGACGATGGTACCACTTACAGCCCTAAATCATGTACGTTCCTTGTGCCCCCAGGGTACTTTCCCATGTATCAAAAGTAATTTCTCACCTATGCCTCCGTCTGCACCACCTCTTCTTTGCGCCACAGCTACAAATTGTGGTAGTCAACCATCGCAGCGATCACCAAGGGCCAGTGTACAGTCATTATAAACCTCGTAGTATTCATAGTACATTCAGTAACCATAGTCAGCGGACTTGTTACAACTGTGGTTTCCTTGGCCATATTGCAATTAATTGTCCTGATAGTCACCCTAAGAGGCATCGTAGTGATGATGAGTACCAGTCAGATCTGCCGTACAGTACTTATCATAGAATAAACGCATGGACATGACACATCTGAGTGCAATGCTCTCTACAACTTTCAGTACTCTAGATCTTTCCGTGGCCGTTCCAACCGCAGAACCAGGAGAGGAAACAGACATCGTGGTTCTCGGACTAACCAGAACCAGGCTCATTCTTCCAATTCAGGGGAATTCGAGCGCCCCAGTCAAACCGTCCCATGGTGACAGTAGGTGATAATGAGTACACCATCCCCATTCACAATTCCTTTGAAGCCTTAAGCAGTCTCGAAAATGACAGTCCCGATGATGATGTTGCTTCACACGTCTCTGACGTATTTATTTATTTATTTTATTTATTTATTTATTTTATGTCTTTGCAAACAGTACATTGAGATTTTATATTTACAATTGTGGGTTGCAATGCAAAGAGAGCCTCTGTTATGCCTAGGCATTATGGGCCAACTTAACATTATTGGCTTACAGACTACTTAACACTAGGATTTTATCATAGTTGTACAGTAAGACAGTAATTATTTCTAGCTGAGCAGTAGATTATTAATTATAAGTGAATTAAATTTGTATAAGACAAAGGATATATTCATATAGTCTAAAATG